TGAAAGAGATACCAAAATGGAAACTCCCAGGAATTTATAGCCAGAGCTCTCAGGTCAAAGAGAAAATATTGCAAACAGCCAGAAAGAAACCATTCAAATATCATGGAGCCACAGTCAGGATTATACAAGATTTAGTGACTTCCACATTAAAGGATCAGAGGGCTTAGAATATGATTCTGTAGGGCAAAGGAGCTAGGATTACAACCAAGAATAACCTGCCCAGTAAAATTGTGTATAATCCTTCAGGAGAAAAAAAAATGGATATTTAATGAAATAAAGGATTTTCAAGTATTCCTGATAAAAAGACCAGAGGTGGAGCAGCTAGGTGGCACGGTGGATAGAGCACTGGCCCTGAAGTTAGGAGGACCTGAGTTCAAATCCGGCCTCAGACCAAACACTTGACACTTACTAGCTGTGTGACCCTGGGCAAGTCACTTAACCCCAACTGCCTGAAAGTAAAAAAAATTTAAAAAAAGACCAGAGCTGAATGGAAAATTTGACATTCAAACAAGATTCAAGAGAAGCATAAAAAAGTAAACATGAAAGAGAACTCATAAGGGAATCAATAAGGTTAAAATATTTACATTACTCTATCAGAAGATTTTATGTGTAACTTCTAAGAATGTTATTTTAATTAGGGTACTTAGAAGGAGTCTGCATAAATAGACAGCATGGGTGTGAGTCAATTATGTTGGGGTAATCTTGAAAAAAAAGAATGCAGGAGTGAGAAAGAGGGATACATTGGGAGAAGGGGGAAGGGAGAGGTAGAATGGGGCAAATTTTCTCTCTTAAAGGCGGTGCACAAGGAAGAGCTTTTATAGTGGAGGGCAAAAGGTGATAGTGGCAGGCAATGCTTAGTCCTCACTCTCGTTGGAGTTGATTCAAAGAGGGAGAAAATATATATATATATATATATACACACACATTCAGTTGAGTACAGAAACCTATTTTACCCAATAGGGAGATAAGCAGAGGAGGATAGGATATGGGAGGGTTATAATAAGGAGAAAGGTAGATTTGGGGAGGCAGTGGTTAGACGCAAGACAGACTTTTGAGGAGAGACAGGATAAAAAGAGAGAAAGAAGGATAAATAGAAGAAAATGGGATGGAGGGAAATGCACAGTAATCAGAATTATAAATGCGAATGGGATGGACTCATAAAATGGAAGCGGACAGCAGAGACAGAAAAACACAGACAGAGTTCAAATGAAGGGCTGGAGCAGAGTGCTTTAGCTGAAGTGAAGAGGGCAGGGGTGGCAATCACGATCTCAGAAAAAACAAAAGCAAAATTAGACCTAATTGAAAGAGATCATCAGGGAAACTACATTTTACTAAAAGATACCATAGACAATAAAGCAATACAAACAATTTTCAGAGGGGGAGCTCGGTGGTTCAGCAGATAGAGTACCGGCCCTGGAGTCAGGAGGACCTGAGTTCAAATCTGACCTCAGACACATGATACCTACTAGCTGTGTGACCTTAGGCAAGTCACTTAACCTCAATTGTCTCACCAAACCAAAAAAATTATAGAAAGTTCCTCTATAAAAACCTCATTTCTCAAACACATAGGGAACTGATTCAAATTTATAAACAGAACTATTTCCCAATTGATAAATGGTCAAAGGATATGAACAGGCAGCTTTCAGAAGAACAAATCAAAGCTATTTATAGTTGTATGAAGAAATTCTCTAAATCACTAGAGAAAGGGAAATTAAAACAACTCTGAGGTACCACCTCACAGCTATCAGAAATGACAAATATTGCCGGGGATGAGGGAAAATAGGTATATTAATGAATTGCTGGTGGAGTAGTAAATTAGTCCAACCATTTTGGAGAACAATTTGGAAGTAGGTCCCAAAGGCTATAAAACTGTGCATATCCTTTGCTCCAGCAATACCACTACTAGGTCTATACCCCAAAGAGACCAAAAAGAAAAGCCAAGTTGCTATATGTACAAAAATATTTATAGCAGCCCTTTTTGTGAGGGCACAGAATTGGGAATTGAAGTGATGCTTATCAGTTGGGGAATGGATGAACAAGTTGTAGCATATGACTGTGTTGGAGTACTATTGTGTTATAAGAAAGAGAGGTGGTTTTATAAGAAACATGGCAAGAATTATATTAATTGATACAAGGTGAAGTGAGAAGAACCATGAGATCATTGTGCACAGTAACAGCAATCTTGTAATGACGATCAACTGTGAAAGACTTGGCTACTCTGATCAATACAGTGATCCAAGATAATTTCAAAGGGCTCATGATGAAAAATGCTATCCATCTTCAGAGAGAGAACAGATAAACTCTAAGTACAAATTGAAGTATAATTTTTTCACTTTGGTCTTCTTGCCATTTTTTAATGATATGGCTAATATGGAAATATGTTTTGCATGATTTCACATGCATAATTGATTGTTTGCCTTCTCAGTGGGTGGGGGAGGGGTGAGAGGGAAAGAGAATGTAGAACTCAAAATTTAAAAAGAATGCTTAAAATAAATTTAGAAAAAAAATTTTTTTAAAAATTAAATTAATAGAATGAAATTGAATCATAGCAGTGAATATTTGACAGTATCTCCACATATCAGGTTTAGTTCCAGGAAAAATTTTTAAGTATGCAAATGTGAAGTTTGTCTTTGATAACTAATTATTGGAGAGAGTGCTGTATTCAGTCAGAGGACATAGGCTCTGCTATTTACTCAGTGTGTGACTTTGGGCAAATCGCTTCATTTCTTTGAGCCCAAGTTTCCTTGGGTTGGACTAGATGACTTCTCTAAGGTCCCTCCCAGCTAACTCCACGTATAATTCTTTTTTTTTGCACTGAATATTTATTTTATTGCCCATGTGAAGTTTTCATTCTGGGACATTCAAAATCACAGAATTTCACAGTTGGAAGGGTCATACATTCACAGATTTAGCACCAGAAGGGACATTATGAGACCACTGAGCCAGACAGAGATGTGAACCAATGACCCTATTTATAGTGTACCTAGCAAGACCTCATTTCGCCTTTGCTTGCAGACCTACAGAGAGGAGAAGCTTACTACCACCCAAGTCCATGTATGATTCTTAAGATAGACAATTAGTAGAGGAAAATAAACACTTGATACTGGGTCAGGACACCAGTAATCTAGTCCTGGCTCAGACATCAACGTTCTGTGAGACCTTGGGTAAATCACTTAATTTTTTCTGGGCTTTAGTTCTGTAAAGTGAAGGGACTGAACTCGATAATCTCTAAGGTTCTTACCAGTGCCAAATGAATGACTCTAAATTAAAAACTTTCACCACCTAGACTTACTTGCATTTTAAAATGAGATTCTGGGGGACCAGGCATCAGAGCTGAGATGAGAAGAAAATATTGCAATGAACTGCCTCGTATGTAGCTGTGCAGGAACCACAGTGAGGGGCATTTAAAAATAATAATTTTTATAAGCCTACATATTTTTAGTGCTACAAAATTGTACTTTTCCTGGCATATAGGTATTTATTTTGTGAAAAGTCAATGGTATGAATTATCTTGAAGGCTCAAACCTCAGATGAGCAGTAACACAGGGCTACAATGTGTAAACATTGCTTGAGGGTAGACAAAGACTTAGTCCTAGAAAAGGACTTTCTAGCTTTGTCAGAAAGTCTGGGAAACAAAAGAAAGACTTGTTAACAATAGAATTTCTGGCACTGAGGAGAAGAGGGGATAGGAGGATTTTTTTTTTTAATCTGGAAGTCCTGCCTGGTTACCTCAAATAGCATTATAGTAGATCCTACCTACCTATATATAAGGCTGACTGTTCTTTTTTTTTTATTGATATCTTTTATTCATCACCTTAATTTCTGAATATATCCTTACCCTCTTCTCTGTCCCTTGTAACAAAAACTTAAAAAAAAAGAGGAAAAAATAGTTCAGCAAAACTAACCAACATATCAACTCAGTGGGACCATATGTATGTTCAATGTTTCACAACCCTAGTCCTCCACCTCTGCAAAGACAGGAGAAAGGTACATTTGTTCTTCTCTTGAGACAGGTCCTGCTTCTATACCCTTGAATCAGTCACTTTTTTTGTGGTGAATTTTAAATACTTTCTTCTATCTTGGTATTTTTTTTTAAAGTCTGCTAGCTCTGACAAGGATATCATGTGGAAGGCAACTTAGACTAGACAAATAAAGGTCTTAGGGAAATATTCACCCTGTTTTTTAAAGCCAATGAGGGGTCTCCTCCAGAAAGGTAGGAATGATGTCCAAATAAGAAATAATTTAAATGACTCACGGAATACTCCAATAGCAGGAAATATTTCTCACTTTAGGTCCCAGAATCTCCCTTTATTATCACTTCAGGACCGTACTTACAGAGGGGACAATTAATATTAATAATATCTCACATTTAGCTCAATAATAGCCCAAATTACAAGGCACTTTCTTCACAATGACTCTGTGAGCTAGGTAGTACAAGTAGTATCCCCATTACATAGATGAGGATATTGAAGCTCAGGGAGGTTAAATGATTTCCACATTGTCACCTAGTCAGTAAGGAATCTACAATCATGTTTTCAAACTCTAAATTCTTTTCACTCTATTATCCTACCTTTGTAACTGAGATTTAACTTCAGATGCATTTGGAAGGGAAATAGGCTGCTTTAAATTTTTTTCTGATTCTGTTTTCTGAGGCAACTAGGAGACAGTATATAGAGGGCTGGACTTGGACTCAGGAAGATGAGTTCATCCTGCCTCAGACATTTTAGCTGTGTGATCCTGGGCAAGTCATTTAACTTCTCTGTCCCTTAGTTTCCCTATCTGTAAAATGGGGGTAATAACACGTAGGTCACAGGGTTGTTGGGTTATTGTGAGCACCAAAGAATACACACACACATACACACATATATTTTCATACACACACATAAATACATATATATTTCGGACCATAAACTGCTATGTAAATGGCAGGTGTAATTATTATTGCTCTGTATAGAAAAAGACTGAAGATATGATGAGGACAAGACTAAGTTTTTCCTTACCTGAATATTTAGTCTGGGGAGGAGAAGACTTGAGGGAAGGCATGTAATTTGTCTTCAAGCATTTGAAGCATTGTTATTTTGAAGAGACACTAAATTTGTTCTGCTTGGCCCTGGAGAGCAGAACTAGGAACAATTGGTAGAAATTGCAAAGAATCAAAATTCAGCTTGATGCAGAGGAAAACTCACCAACAATTAGAGCTGTCCAAAAAGTGGATGGGCTGACCCAGAAGACAATGGATTTTCCTTAACTTGAAATCTTTAGTAGACTTCTGGATGACTATTCATTGGGTGTGTTGTTAAGTGGATTTCTGTTATGGTTGGACTAGATGGCTTCTGCGGACCCTCCCAAATCTGAGATTCTGTCTTTCTTAGGGCAGCTAGGTGGCATAGAAGATCAAATGCCAGCTCTGGCGTCAGGAAGACCTGAGTTCAAATCTGGCCTAAGACACTTATTAGCTGTGAGACCCTGGACAAGTCACTTAACACTGTTTGCCTCAGTTTTCTGATCTGTAAAATGAGCTAGAGAATGAAGTGGCAAACCACTCCAGTATCTTTGCCAAGAAAATCCCAAAAGGGGTCATGGAAACTTGGACATGAACGAAACGACACAACAATAACATGTCTTTCTTGGTTAGGCATTTTATGGGGGTATGGACAGATCATTTCTAAATTAAGTCTGGATTGACACTAAGATGATGAAAGACAGCTTGGGGTATAATAATAACTAGCACTTATAAAGCACTTTAAGGTCTGCAAAGTGCTTTACAAATATTTTATCATCACAGCAATGCTCACAGCTGTGTTATTATGAATCTCAATGCTTGAGGAAACTCAGGCAAACAGAAGTTAAGTGACTTGCCCAGAGTTACATAGCTCGTAAGTGTTTCAGGCTAGATTTGAAATCAAGTCTTACTGATTGCAGGTTCGGTGCCCTAAACATTGTGCCACCTAGCTAAGCAGAGGATAGAAAGCCAGTCTAGGAGTGAGGAAATACTAGGCTCATGTCCTGCCTCACGACCCTGGGCAAGTTAATCTCTCCACGTCCCATGCAATTCTCTGAGATGTGGGTCTGCATTGGTAGAGGAAGTCTAATTTTTTTTCTTTTAAAATTTAGTTAAATTTTCTTTTTTATTATAAACTTAATTATCAACAAACTTTCCAATCTACAAAAAACAAAAAAGAAGATTGCATATGAAATTATGAGCTCCTGTTACATAGAATTTTAAAAATGCATTATCAAATTTAATATGGCAGTTACAAAATTGCCCTATTTATTTCCCATTTTGAACTTTTTCATCATCATCATCATCATCATCATCATCATCATCATCATGCATTTATTAAAGGCTTACCATGTGCCAGGAACTGTGCAAAGTACTGGGGATGCAAAGAAAGGCAAAAACAAGATCTCTGCCAGCAAGGAACTCACATTCTAGTAGGTTTTATTTTCTTCTGTGTATTTTTTGTTTCATTGATGCTCCTTTCTTCTTCTTTCCTTCCTCCTTTCCTTCCTTCCTCCCTCCCTCTCTTTCTCCCTCCTTCCCTTTCTTCCTCTCTTTCTTTTATTCCTTCTCTCCCTCCCTCTCTTCCTTCATCCCTCCCTCCCTCCCTCCCTTCCTTCCTTCCTTCCTTTCTTCCTTCCTTCCTTCCTTCCTTCCTTCTTCCCTTCCTCCCTCTCTCTCTGTCTCTGTCTTTCTTTCTTTCATATGTCTATCACTTTCCATAAATCTAGCCTCCTTTCTTTGAAGGAGAGGTACCCCTTTGTAACAAATAAGCTCATTGCTATGCCTGAAAATGTATGTCTTAATCTGCACTAGAAGGTGTTTTCTTACCAGGAGTTCCCTACACTAATGAAATCACAGGTTAAGATACAAAAAAATAGTGCTGATATTTTTCTGGTGAGGTAGTATTTTTATGAATTGTGGGGGAATATTATAGCCTTCAAAAAATTGAAGTTGAGGATCCCCCTAAGGGCGGAGAGGTTCACTGCTGCGACACATTATAAATTAGGAATTATAAAAACGTGTCCTAAAGGATATTAGAGAAATGCATGAATGATTGGAAAATAAGATGAACTGGTCACATAGAAATAGTGAGGGGTAACCAAAGCACAGCCAACACATTTCATTGTTATCTACGCAATGTCAAGAGACCTAAAGGAAGGTCCTTAACATGAATATACTTCCTATGGTGGATTAAGACCTCAATGTCATCCTCAACTCCTTACTCTCACTCACCCTACATGTCCAATCTATTGCCAAATTTTGTCATTTCTTTTTCCAGAACATCTCTAGGCTACCTTCTATTGTCTTCACTCACAGTCACTTTAGTTCAGGTCTTTGTCTCTCATCTAAACTTTTTCCATAGCTTCCAAATGATCTCTGTCCCTCAAGTCTCTTCTTCAACCCACTCTCCACTTAGATACCAAAATTATTTTCCAAAAACCCAGATCTGTACATATAACCACCCAACACCCTCCCCCTGCCCCCCGCCAGGTAAACTCCAGTAGTTCTCTATCCACCTAAGGTCACTAGGTGCTGCGGTAGATAGAGTGGCAGGCCTGGAGTCAGAAAGATTCATCTTCCTGAGTTCAAATCTGGCCTCAGACACTTACTAACTATGTGACTCTAGGCAAGTCATTTAATCCTGTTTGCCTCAGTTTCCTCATCTGTAAAATGAGCTAGAGAAGGAAATGGCAAATCACTCCAGTATCTTTGTCAAGAAAATCCCAAATGGGGTCACAAAGAGTCTGACATGACTGAACAACAGCAGCTGTCTATCACCTCTAGGATATAGATTATGAACTCTGGCAATTAAAGTTGTTATATTTCTAGCTTCTTATACATTATTCCTTTCCATGTATTTGACAGTCTAATCATACTGGCTACTTGCTGTTTCTCACAAATGATGCTCCATTTCCCATCTCCATGCCTTTGTACCAGCTATCTTTTATTCTTGAAATGTCCTCCCTCCTCATCCGCATCTCTAATCTTTGGCTGCCCTCATCTTCTGCAGGGATCCTTTCTATGTCCCCCTCCCCTTTCTCTGGCTGTTGGTGCCTTGAATGTAGAGACAACACAGTACTTGGCATATAGTAAGCACTTAATAAATGCTTATCATTTGAATGATTGATTGAGGACATGGACAAAAGTCCAAGAGGATGGGCAGGCATGGATGTATTGCAATCTATATTATTATTGCAGGGGATGCTCACATTAATAAGAACACAGAACCATTGGAATAATGAAATATCCTACAGGACTATACAACTTTGAAATCAAATCACAGAAGGTCATTTGTATCAAATTTTACAGAGCCAAGTCTACAAAAGGGTGAAAAAAAATGATGGTTAGCTTATTGTCATTATTACAGTGTTGGAGAGAACAAGAGGCTTTTAACAATTAAAATACAAATAAAGTCTGTTCCTGTATCCAAAGAACAAGATCTCAAGGCTTCTGAAAACATGCTTAAAGGATGTTCTTACAGTTTACTGAGAACAGGGTCTGGGCAAAGTATCTGGTGTCAGCTAATGGCTTGTCACCTCCTGACTATAGAGGCTGTGGTCAGACTCCAAAGGGGTGTGGACTCTGGAGAGAAATGCAGAAAGGCTTATACAGGTAAAACACAAATAGGCCAAACACTTTCCTGACATAATTTGTTTTTTCGTTACAAAAAAAAAAAAAAAAAGATTGACGTTCCATTGAACAACTAGGGTGAAACAAATGCCAACATTTCTAACTTCTTTTCCCCTAAATTTATTCCTGATTCTGGAATTATGAGTTTGAGGAGCCAAATGAAACTGATGTTTTGAGCATCTTATTGGTTATTGTTTTGTACTTGTCTACTGTCCCTCTTCAAAGTGGCCCAGAACATTTTGCAGGCAACAGCTCATTTACACACACCTACATCAACATTTCTTGGGCATTCTTATTTTGCAGATGGAGAAAATGAAGAGAAGATAAATTATGTGATTTATGTCATATTAAGAGCTTAGCTGGGCTGTGTAGAACCCAAGTATCCTGACTCCCTGTAAAATATGTGGGCTTCTTGTGGCAAAACAAAAGAGAATGACACATTTTAATAAACATACATCTTTGCCCCTCTAAACCCCTCCCCCCAACTCCTCTCCTCCTGCCTAAATCATTATGAATTTAGTGTCAATTCTAGTTTGGGTGGAGACAGAGGAATTTAAATTAACTGCAAATATGCTATTATTGTTCTATGATGTTTGAGAAGAAATAGTGGTCCCAGAAGAGAGCCTGAAAACATCCCCAAAAGGTAGAAGTGCTTCAGGATTTTTAGTGGGATTTAGGGAGCTTAGTTGTGGAGGAATTTTGAGTTTTTAGGCAAACTGCTTTTTCAGCAGGAGCAAGAATCTAGGGGAAGCTGCTTGAGGGTGAGGGCCTGGGGTGAAGATTTCACTAAAAAAGTATTCAAAGCCAGCACTGGTGGGAATAGAGAATGAGAGGGTAAGCTGGAAAGTATCCAGATGTGACAGTTGAGATTGATGGATCAGTTCAGGGAAGCTCTATAGTTGAGTTGGGTTCTGACCCAACGGTGATCAGAAGACAATGACTGATTTGGGCTTTAAGCAACCTGGAGAATAGAATACAGCAAATTCGAACAGAAGGCAATAGGATTGACCTGGGCCACAGATAGAAAAGGACTTTGCTTCCCTAAAGACTATAACCCTGTTAAACCCTGTTGCTTGGTTTCAGATTAAAGAGTAAGATAAATCCATAACAAAGCAGCAATTAGAAGGAGGTGTGTGTGAAAACAGGGTCCTGAAAGAGACTGTTTAGCTTCAAAATTTTACCAAGGTAAATTAAAATCAGAATTTGTATCTCCAATTGCCCTTAAGGTGGATGTATTTTGTGTCCTGAAATCAGAGCTAGGACTAGGGTAGGGTAGGCAGATGGATGGGTTGTAACATGTTTGCATAGAAGGGGAACTTTAAAATAGGATTTTTAAAAATAAATGTACTCTTTTCTTAACAATGAACATTTATCACGTATCTTCTGTGTTCAAAGTACTGTGCTAGGTATGAGAAGATAAAAACACAAAAAAGAGAAAGCTCCTGCCTTCAGAAAGCTTACATGCTGCTGTATCTACTAGATACAATGTAGTTCCAGAAAAGTAAATGCAAAAGAGATACGAAGTAAATACAAAGCTGAGCATTAACATCTGGACTGGGGAGACAGAGAGACCAGTGTTAGGAAAAGCCTTGTAGATTATTAGGTAACACCTGAGCCTTGACAGGAGCCAAGCATTCTAAGGGGAGGAGATGCTATATAGTACACAGATGATAGCATTTTTGATCTCCAGTTCAAAAGGACCTCAACAGCCAACTAGCCCAACCCTACTTGCTTTACAGATGAAAAAACTGAGGCCTAAGGAAGTTAAGTGTTCACATGGAGAATAAGCATCAGAGGTAACATTTGAACCCAGGTCAGAGACTGTGTGTGACAAAGAGGTGTGTTCTTCTAGTACACTGTAGCACCGGGGATGGGGGCATAGGTGCAATTTTCAGACCTTGCCTAAAGTGCACAAATACTTCATCTGGGTTCTGCTGGAGATTTTTTGGCACTACAGTGAAAACACTTGTGCACACTTTTGCACCAGCTTGTGGGCTGTACCTCAGTGGATGAGGGTGGGGCAGCAGTAGTTTTTCCACTACTAGCTAGTAGTAGCTGAAAGTTGGGGTTAGGAGAGAAGCTTGCTAAGCGGAACATTCTTTTCTGGGGCTGCCCTGGGGATTTCTTCTTATCACTAGCCTATACAGCCTAAAAATCTCTGTTCTAATTTTGCAGACGTGAAAAATTATGCCTCCTATGGATGAATCAGCTGTTCTCTGGTGAATTTCGATGAATGGTAAAGGACTTACCCAAGGGCTTTGAACTGATCAGAAACCTTCATCATTTGTTTTTCCAAACTTAACATGCGGGGCTGCAAGATATAATCAGAAAATCAGTCAGCAGATGTGAAGTCCACCCCTGTCCTTGTTTGGCCACTGCTTTGATTGGGAGCAAAATTCCTATGTGTCTCAGTGGACATAACTTCTACTCTTTCAGAAGAGTTCTGGGAATTTTGCTTTTGCTGTTTGGCAACTTCCACAGCATTTAGCAGGGCTCCAATGTTTCAAGTTATCACTGGTCCTATTTCTCATCAATCTAGGACATTGTCCCCTTCAGCTCCTTTCCTTCTCCCAGCCCTAGCCCCAGCCCTAGGGGCTTTGCAGTTTGTATTCCCAAGAAGCTTTAATAGCATGGTGCTATCTTCCTCATTAGCCAGCACCAATTAGTGTCAAAAATGGCTAACTGCCCCTTAAGGTCTCAGGAAGCAGCATGTCGACAGGGATACAGCGGGTTCTTCAACCCTCGTTGTGCCTTTTTATTGCCACTATCTGCCTGGAAAATAATGAGTTGTCAGTGTGATCCTGTTATAGTAGGAATTTTGGGGGAGGGAGGGAATGACTTCCAAGGTACTCAGGTAATAACTTTGGGATGACGTAAAAATCCTTTCTCCTAATTTTTTTTCTTTCTGGGGAGGGGGTGGTAGTGGAGTAGAAGTATTTGGGGAAGGGGCGTGTCCTTTTTACTTTTCCTCTATCATGGTTGCTGCCACTTCTAATACATCAGCTGGAGACAACTATAATAAAATCTGATGTTTGTATAACATTGTAAGGTTTGCAAAGCTTTTTTTTAAATACATTATCTCATTTGTTCCTTACAACAATTCTGAGAGGTAGGTGCTATTACTATCTCCATTTTATAAATGAGAAAACTGAGGTTCAGAGAGGTGAAGTAGTTAGATATTCCTTTATGCCAATAACCAGTCAGTCAGTTATTCTGTCAATAAGCATTTATTAAGCACCAGGGCTTTGCTAAGTAAGTAATACAAAGAAAGGCAAAACCAGTCCCTGCCCTCTAGGAACTCACAATCTGTTGGGGGAGATTTGTTGTTCAGTTGTGTCTAACTCTTCGTGACCCAATTTGGGATTTTCTTGGAAAAGATGCTGCAGTTGGGTTTGCCATTTCCTTCTCATTTTACAGATGTGGAATTGATGAAGGTTAAGTGACTTGCCCATAGTCACACAGCTAACTAGTAAATGTCTGAGGCTGGATTTGAACTCATGGAAGATGAGTCTTCCTGCTTCCAAGCCCTGTGCTCTATCCACTGTGCTACCTAGCTGCCCCAATGGGGGAGATTGGGGGCAAACAAATATGTAAAAACAAGTTATACATAGGAAATAATTGATAGATGGAAGGCACTAGAATTAAGAGGTGTTGGGAAGGGCTTCTTGTAGAATATGGGATTTTAGCTGGGACTTAAAGGAAGGTGGAGAAGCCAGGAGGTAGAGATGAGGAGTGAGAGCATTCCAGGCATGGGGGACAGTCAGAGAAAATGCCCAGAGATGAGAGATGGAGTGTCATTTGTCAAAGAGCAAGGAGGCAAATGTCACTGGATCAAAAAGTATGTAGGGGGTGTGTAAGGTATAAGAAGTAGGAGGGGACTAGGTTATGAAGGGCTCTGAATGCTAAAAGGAGGATTTTGTATTTGATCCTGGAGGTGATATAGAGAACATCGAAACTCTTCTTTTGGCTCCAAAGAAGAAAGTTTGCTCCGGAAAGGAAAAGGACAATACAAATGATGGTAGTCTTTTAACAGGATCATCATGGGACAAGGTCTGGTATCCTGCTCAGCAGGCACAGGAACTTGATTGTTATCAGTTTATCCAAGGCTGATACTCATGGGACTGATGAACTAAGAAAATGGATTTTAAGCTAGCATGTCAGTTTATAAATGTAAAATGGGTGATCAGAATCCTAATGTCCAGAGTCCAGGGCACACCAACAACTATCAAGCCATGGAATCTGAGCAAAGAAAATTTTTCTATGGGCCTGATCCCATCTTACAAGATGTATCCTGTTGACCCACTGCCTTGCCTAGAATTCCAATGTTAGTCCTTGGGTTGAGGACTTAATTCTTTAAAAATCTCTTGTGAAAACATAAATACCTATAATAGTACGATAGTTTTGTGGGATATTTTAATTTAGGCTTGGTGGACTCTGGTTAATTTGCTTCACTATAGAGTAATAATGGATTTTTTTTTTTTTAGCTTTATCTCATTTGGGCTTCAAATAACCCTATATATTCCCACAATCATGCAACTAGTTAAGTGTCAAAGATGAAATTCAAAGCCTTGACTCCACGTTCAATACCCTTTGGACTACAACATTCTTTGCCTACCAAGACACCACCAAGTTATGGTGTCTGAATGGATAGTTATGGTGTCTGAATGGACACTGGTAAATTCTCTTTGGTATCCATTTTTTACATTATATGTAAACATGTTAAGAGACTATCTTGAACATGGTATAGTTAATTGGATCACAGTTCATCTTAGATTAGTTACAATTTATTTTTAATTTATCTTTTACCTATGTCTTTAGTTTAGTCTAAGCAGAATTATCAAAAATAAATTTGTTTTCAGTGCCCTTTTACACTCTCCCACCTCATTTTGGTGTCCTTTTTCTTCTCAGTATCCTTAGGCAGACTTTTGGTTGGCCAAAGTCCTCTACTACACTGTTTTTTTGGACTTGTGGTTTATCATTGCATTGATCAGAGTTCTAGAGTCTTTCAAAGTTGTTTTTCTTTATAATGTTGTTATCCTTGCAGAAATTGTTTTAGCTCTTTTCATTTCACTCTGCATCAGTTTATAGAGATCTTCGTGGTTTCCTCTGAAAATGCCATTGTATCTTATGATAATAATATTCCATTGTATTCCTATTCCACAATTTGCCTAGCCATTTCCCAAAAGGAGGACACTCCTTTTATTTAAAAATTTTGGCAACTATGAAAAGAGATGTTATAACTACTTTTGTAACAGGCAGAGCAGTTGCTGACCAATATAAGTACAGTCAGTTTCCTCTCTAGGAATTCCTCAGACCAATGCAATGACAGGTCTACTGCTCTCTCCACCCCAGATGGGCAGGTTGTATTAGATGACCTTAAGTCCCTTGAGGCTCTAAATCCAATTAACTTTCAGGTTTTTTTTGTATTTAAAATTGTCTATTTCATCTTTCATGCTGTCCTCTATTCCTTATTTATTTAAGAATTTGCCTTGGTGATGGACTAGTATTTTAGAATGAGGCTGTAAGATGGTTAGGTGGATAGAGTACTGTACATGAAAGTCAGGAAGACCTGAGTTCAAATCTTGCCTCAGATACTTTCTAGCTTTGTGATCCTAGGCAAGTCACTTAGCACCTATTTACCTCAATTTCCTCATCTGTAAAATGGGGATAATAATAACACCTCCCTCTGAGGGTTGTTGTGAGGACACAATGAGATAAAATTTGTGAAATGCTTTGCAAACCTTGAAGTGCAAGAGAAAAGACTAGTTATTATTATTGTAGAATGGAAAATGCAATTTGGGACATGACCAATGTGCTGATTTGTTTTGCTTGATTGTACATATTTATTATAAAGGAGGGCTTTTATTTTGGGGGTTGGCGTACATGATGAGTTGGATAGTGATAGAAGTACAAAAAAAGATAACATCAATAAAACACTAAAAAAATATAACGAAGGAAAGCAAAAAGAAGTGCAGGATGGCACATAGAAATTTTGTTAGCATCTTGTTAAATTCAACATATACTTAAACTCTTGTCACGAGAAATTTTAATTTTTCCTTTTATTATTTGGGCTTCAGGGACATTCCTCCTGTAATTTTTGGTTAATTCAAAGTCTGTCTTAATATTAAGCTCACCTGACCAAAACCTGTCCCATGGGATGTAAACATTTACTAAGATCCTTAAACATTCCTTAGATAAGAAGGCAGAAGAAGAATCACAACTGTCTCTGACTCCTCAGAGCCGTGTAAATTTCCTTCTCAATCAACCTACTGTGAATCTTCTAAATGTAGTTTACTCTGTAACCTATAAAGTTTATTTGATGAAGTTTGCTTTTTTAGGTGATGTATGAGATTACGACTATGTTCAACTTTTATGACACTGAAGGAAGTATAGCATTCTGGGTCTACTCTTCAACTTTTATGGTTTAAGCAATAGGTAAATGAATGATTTCTTTGTCACTTTGATGTAATTTTGCCTATAAAAAGCCTTATCAGAATTCTCATAATTGTTCAGATTTTCTCTGAGGCCTGAACTTGTATTTGAGCATAATGATAAAATGTAAGTTTTTACTTCCATAATTTATTTTTTATTTTTATTTTTTTAGGCAATTGGAGTTAAGCGACTTGCCCAGGGTCACACAGCTAGTAAGTGTCAAGTGTTTGGTCTGAGGCCGGATTTGAACTCAGGTCCTCCTAACTTCAGGGCCAGTGCTCTATCCACTGTACCACCGAGCTGCCCTACTTCCATAATTTCTGCATTGTGTTACCTACCACATGGACACAGAGAGATATTCTCCATAACACTTTACAGAAGCAAAAGTTCATAGTTTCTTATACAATATTTTGTTCTTTTATATATTGAAATATTTATGTTCCTTCATGATTATTAAATTCATAATAAAAAAAGAAACTTAAAAAAAACTATGAACTTTCTTGTTTACAGGTTAGAGTAGCTAAATAGACTGCAACTCTTCCTTTGCATGGTCCTGTAGACAGGTCACTAAGGTGCTATGGAATATGGTATTTACACACAGGGTTCCTGATTACTAGAGACAGAACTGAATGCTCCAGGAGCTGTGGGCTGTAGCATCCTTACACATACTGAACCAGCATCCAGTAAGAAACACATTCCAAATGCTACCAAGTTTCTATTAAAATAATCTAATTTACAGTAGAGATATGATCTTAAGTATGGAACTCAGAATTGATGGCATTAATTTATGAAAACTTTTGTAATCAGAAAATTGAAACATGTTGAAAATGCATGGCCATTTCAAAGTAGTTCCAAAATGTATGGCATGCATACTATTCACAT